ATGGCATGTGTGACATCTTATTTGTTTCTTTGTTTTGCTTTAATATTGGCCATGGTAGAAAATTCTTTTTCGCACAAATAAGTGGTAGAAAAAATTAATAGTTTTTTTATTGCATTAATTGAAAGTTCTGGATATTCATTATATACTGTACACCAAAAATCTACAAGAGTTTCATATTTAAATTTATTTTCATAAGTTTTATCCCAAGAAAGACCGATAATCTGAGTTTCAAGAAGCGTATTGAAGTTCAACTCTTCCATAGGAACAGTAATAGGATTTTATAACTGTAATCGTAACCACGAGTCGCGATCCATCAAAAAAATCATCCATGATTTGGTAAACGCTGCATTACAGTAAACCACTCGCCTAATACCTACCGTACAGAAATATGATATTCACTTTCCCGCTTTTTATTACTTCAAAATTAAAATGTACAAATAATCAAATTGTTTTATTCAATATTTTTGATGCWTAATATCATAATATTTGATCGTAGATAGATAAAATAAAATGTACCTACCTATGTATTTTTACATTAGATATCATAACTCAAATTTTATATAAAATCGAGTTTGTAGTGACCTATGTGCTATGTGTTATTATTTTCGCATCGTGGTATACAATTATTATCATATTGTAAACACAAGTTTGTATTTTTACTAATATAGGGCAATCATTTAGTTTTATATACTTTTTTGTAAATCTGTAACAGCTATGTATTATTATTGATATTATATTATATTGTAGATTTTAACCAACATGAATGTATTGTACACGTATATCGTTGATAAACCAGGTAATCATGATGTCTTGTTAAACGGATATGCGGAGGCAATRATTAGTTTGTGTGGTTTGTAATTTTGTATTTTTACATTTAATAATCAACATAATTTATTCATCGTAATAATGTAAAATACGTATGTAATTGTCTTATGGATAGAGTTTGAAATTGAAGGGTTTAATGTAGGTATACTTAAATGTCTAGATTTTTTTCAATTTCAAGTGAAATAAACAAGGAAAGTCGCTCTGTTATACCTATTGTAGATTTAAAGTGCACCTCATTGATGGGTATTTACGAAGGTACCTAATGGATKCAATCCACAATAAGTACCAACTAGATCCTATTTTCTAAAAGTAACCATTTATTGAAAATTGAAAATTAAATAAKTTTTGTGATCCTGAAGTCACACATATCATTGCCTAACCAAACCTAACCAATACCTATTCATTTCTATATTCAAAATTTAAAATTTAAATTACATGTTTTACGAATGTTCTATCATTGTACCCAGTACCTATTTATTTTTTAAATTAATTTTTTTGATACTTAAATATCATATTCACAGGAGCTGTGGGTGCCTATCTAATTGGAAAACTTCAAATAGATTGGATTTATTATGGCGATGCTGTTACAGCGATTTGTTCTTCATTTATGGGCATTCTTATGATGTCATGTTATTATCACGATCATTTGTTTTTGATATATTTATCATACATTTTATATGGAATAGTTAGTCAAATGGCATTTGTTTCAAATTTGTAAGTATATGCAATCTGTAGATACACTTAAAAAAAATAAAACAATTGGGTATCATAGTTAATATTCCAAATGTTAACACGGTCAATACTCTATAAACTAATTACCTTACTAAATATATTTTTTTCTTCAAGCTCTGAAATTGCGAAACGACTGAAGAATCATTGTTATTCTCTCGTTTATGGATTTAATTTATTTGGGTCTCTATTAATATCCACCTTCATGACAATATTTTTCGTCCAAATAAATTTTTTGGATATTACTATTCCTGGACGGGTAAGTTCAATAAACATAATGAACAATATTATATTACGTTATAATACATTGATATATTGATATTACATAATATTTATACCATTATTTTGTTTCCAGTTTTTATTCATTGGTGGCTTAGATGTCTCTATTGGAGTAGGATTCTTATTTTTATCATGCCTCAAAATGATCAAGCCTCGATGATAAACTACACTATTTGTCTTTGCTATAATCTGAAACATTTTGTTTAATAATATTGTCCAATAAAGAAAGGCATTCTTTACTATAAAATATATTGTAATTCATTGTAAAACATTAGTTGAATTACCTATACGGTTATGCCTATTAATGATTTACATAAATTCAATTATTAAAACTCATAAATTAGTATTATTTAAAATTATCTCAATAATAATATGAGTAAAAAAAAAAAAAATGTTTTTGATTTGTTTATAGCATCGTATGTTAATTGTGGAAAAATAAAAGGATTTGAGTTTTTTTTATAATATGAGGTACAATTTTAG